CTCTTTCCTCTCTCTCTTTCTCTCTCTCTCTTTCTCTTTCCCTCTCTCTTTCCTCTCTTCTCTTTCTCTTTCCTCTCTTTCTTTCTCTTCCTTTCCTCTTTCCTTTCTTTCCTCTCCTCTTTCTCTTTCAGTTAGCTTTCTCTCTTTCCTCTCTTTCTCCTCTTTTCTTCTCTTTCTCTTTCCTCTCTTTCTTTCCTCTTTCCTTTCTTTCTCTCTTTCTTTCTTCTTTCTCTTTCCCTCTTTCCTCTCTTTCTCTTTCCTCTTTCCTCTATTTCTCTTCTCTTTCTCTCTTTCCTCTTTTTCTCTTTTTCTCTCTTTTCTCTTTCTTTTTTTCCTTTCTCTTCTCTTCCTCTCTTTCCTCTAACTTTCTCTCTCTCTTTCCTCTTTCTCTTTCCACTTTCTCTTTCCACTTTTTCTCTTTCCCTCTCTCCTCTCTTTCTCTTCTCTTTCTTTCCTCTATCTCTCTCTCCCTCTCCCTCCAGGTTAGGAGAGAGAGAGAGAGAGAGAGAATGAAAGGCAGATGGCGCCGAACGGGTGGGGAGAGCAGGACGGAAGGTAGAAGCTCCCGGCTGCCCCCCCATCGCTTCTTCAGCCGAACAAGCAGGGAGGGGCAGGGAGGGGGAGCAGGCAGGCTCTGGCGGCAGCCACTGCAGCATCGTCGGGGTCCCCGTCACCGCCCCTGGCCTGGCCGCCGCCCCCGCCGCATCCTCAGCCACTTCGCCGTCTTAAGAGGAGGGCGCCAAGGCCGGATGCACCATGGGCGGCCGCGCTGGCAACGGGGAGTGCCGACGAGGGGGGGTCCCGATCGCCGCCAGCCCCACCGCCCTCGCAACCCAAGGTCTCCTTCTCCTGCAGCAACGAGGGCAGCAGCGGCAGCTCCCTGAAAGTGCCCGAGGAAGGTGCCACCGATGGGGCTGAGATGGGGCTGGGCGGCGGAGAGCCCTGCGGCAGCCAGGCGAGCTTCATGCCTGACTGCCGTCCGGCCCGGGCTGGGGAGACATGTGGCCGGTTCGGCTTCCCGGGGAGCGATGCTCCCGCTGCCCGCCGCACCAGCCATGACTGCCGCCCAGCACGGGGAGACATGTGGCTGGTTTGGCTGCCCAGGGAGCGGCCCAGGAAGTGATGCCCCAGCCGAGACTGCAACAAGTAAGCCGGGGGGTGCACAACCTGCCCCGCAGCCACTTCGCGGCAGTGCTCCCCTTCACGCTTGGCTGCGGCGGCCCGGGGTATTCCGTCCCGGCCTCGACACGCAGCACCGCAGGGAACGGAAGGGAAGGGGGGAGGGCCGTACCTGGAGCATCACAGGCCGGGGCGATGCCGGGAACGAGCTGGGTGGCCGC